GAAGGAAAATAAAAATGAACTGATATCACATCTGAGTAATAAATCATCAAGATTCAAGGTAAAAAAAAAATCTTTTCTCCTCTCATTGATTTGCAATGATGGTTGAATGCTGCCTCCAGCTATTACTTGGAAATGATTTTATTTACTTTCTAAATCTTACTCACCTCCCCTCTGAACCTATAATTTCTAAACCCTGCTTCATTTTGTGCAAATCACTTCAGGGTAGATCTGGAGTGTGTCATCCTTGCTATTTTTGAAAATTAATGGCCTTGTCCTCTTCACAAATGATGACTTTTTTAAAAATCAGAAATACTTAATGCAAATCCTTAGTAGCTGCTCTTTAGAACTGGGGGCCTCGTGTGCAGACACTTTTGAATGTTCCAGCAGAGTCAGCATTAAACTCTCTGCCACAGCACATACTTTACCTTATATGTATACTAGCCAAACATAAATACATAAATAAAATCAACAGAACTTAGTACAGAGGTTCGACTGCATTATACCGTTCCAATAATGTGCAGTGTCAAACTCAGTAAATTTGACTTCCTCCTGAGTGCATTAGGTTGTAACTCCAGACCAAAACATAACTTCCAGCTGCAGTGAGATTAATAGGAAAGAATATGTCAGGATAACTGAAATACCTATTAATGCTATCCTAAGTCTGATCTGTAAAATCTATGGCTTTTGCCATGTATATTCACTCCCAGGTGCAGTAAGCTTAAATAGGGTCCTAACTGATGAATCACTGTGCTCAATCCCCACAGAGGGAGGTCTGGGACCCTCAGGGAGCAGGGCCCACCACTAAGTGACATTTGATTTGAATACAATTGGTTGAGAGCCATAAGTTTTACTATAACTTTGCACCATACTCACTTCTTTTTTTCTCTATTTCTAGTCTCCCCCTTTTGCTTTACTGCCCCCTTTCTCTGTTCTGCCCCATTTTCCTCTTCTGCTAGATCCAGTATGTCAGTGTTTTTCAAACTGTGAGATACGACCTGTTAGTCCCTCATGAAATCAGTTTAGCAGGCCACAGCCAGCAATTTTTAAAATCAACTACGATAGAATATTTTAGGGTGCCTGGCTATGACAAGGGTAATATTGTTTCAGAAACTCTGGTTTCCACCCATGACTGTCCTGGGTCATGATAGAAAATATATTTCTTTGCGAAGAGCAGCACCTCCACTGACGGTACTTGGGGTAGAAGAGGTGGCAGGCGGGCTGCAGGGTGTGGCAGACCATGAAGCAGGGCATCGGGGAACCTGGAATCTTGGTCTTGCTCTGTCATAAGTCATCATGTACATTATGTTCCTTCAATTTGTTTAAGTGTGAAATAAACGTAAGGTGTTTATATATACATATAATATACACACTATATATACATAAAACATGTACGTATATACTATATAGTATACATATAGTGTATGTATATAAATATATGGCATACTGGTGCTACTGGAGAGTAGGAGAAGCCAGGGATGCTGCTAAACCTCCCACATTGCGCATGCCAGCCCTCCACAACAAATACTGATCTGGTCCAAAATGTCAATTGTGCCGAGGTTGAGAAATCCTGATATACACACCTATTCAGCTATTTGGAAAAAAATCTAGGGAAAAGGTGAAATGCTTTCAAGTTTTCATTTGAATGTTTGACATAATATACCTCCAACCAGAATAGTAAACAACTTTCTAATCCTGGTTCTATTATCCAATTTCAATTAAAACAATGCTTTCTCACTAAAATCATTGCTTTGTATAATTTACTTAAGAAGGGAATTTAAGAATTCCTCATTTCAAGAAGTACATATGTGTACCTCTTCACAATTTTCAAGGGTTTTTTATGAATCCCATCCTTACTGACGCCATATGGCAGGTGCTAGTACTGTTTTACACGTGAGGAAACTTAGATAGGAGCAGTGCCTGCTTGGGATTTGAACCCAGGTTACTGGTCTCCAAGGGTTTGGATATGTGTTTGATTAAAAGACAAACTATTCTGGGTCCTGGCCCAGCACTCTTCCAACCAAGCCTGCCAAAATAATCAAAATAATTGAATTGACTTGAAAAATATCCACACTTTCAATAGCATCACAGAACCAATGTCTACAATATCCTTTAAACTATAATTACCGGTATTAACGGCATGTCCTCTGTGTCTTGTTTCTTTATTTAGGAATTTGTCTGTCTCTGTCTGAACTCTTCTTTGAAATTTTTGGTTCAAATGGACAGTATTCCCAGAAAACAACTCACATCGATCGGTCTTAGACTTACTGACTCTGCATGAGGTTTCTACTTTGTCTTATTTTGTAAATTTTTTAAAGCTTCCCAGCCCTGGATAGGTGTGGAAAAGGTGGAGAAGCAACATTCACAGGCAAACTGTGTAGTACACAGTAACTGTGCAACATTTGCATTGTCTTAGTAATGTATACACATTTTAAAAATTCATCCTAGATGAAATATCTGATTTTCTCCTGATCTTAGATTGAAATTATAAAAGCCCAAGCAAAATTTAATTTCTGTATTGCCCCACTAGCATTGCAGTCAGGGATCTCTAAGCCTTTTAGTAATGTGAACTAATCAACAGAGAACAGCACACAAACACAGAGATGCCTTTAAAATGCCACTACACCAAAGAATTAAGAATGCTATTTTTATTAATTCACAGAAGTACATTAATATGCATGTCTTTGATATTCAGTTATGTCAGGATTTTTCTCCCCTAACACAGAAACTTTTCAAAAAGTCAGTATAAAGCAGCTTTCAAATAAATTGGTACATTTAAAACTTTCACACGCTTCAAGCTCTCTTCTGTAATTATCTATGCAACAACCCTCACAGAAAGTTCTGTATTGCTCATCATTGTGTGTGTGTGTGTGTGTGTGTGTGTGTGTGTGTGTGTGTGCATTCAGGACACCCTTTGAAACAGCTACCCACCTACTTGAAAATGTTATGCCGACAAAAAGAAAAGTCTGCTCTTTTTTTAAAAATCTTACTATCAGTGTGGTCCCGTGCAGAAAGGCAGGCTGCTAAATGCTTTTCTGAAGGCTGATAAACATGTTAGACTTGCTTACAAGGCTACTTAAAATGGATGCATGCCATATTTTGCAAGTTTCTACTGGATCAAAATAAAATGTCGGTCTGTATCATTGATAGCCTGTTCCTCATCTAATCTGTATATGTTATGGCTTTTGTTTGTGTCCCCTTTGGCTAGGGACACACCACCCTTCTCAGTAAACTGTCTCCTTTTTTTCAGCATGACTGTCTCATTATTTCTGCCTTTGAATAGCCCCTCAGCTCTGTGTTTTGTGGTTGTTCATAGCCCCCATTAAATAACTACACGAAAAGATGACACAGTCAGAAATGAGGTAAACACAGAAGAAACAGTATTAACTGTTCTCAGTAATACTACGATGTGCCCAGGCTGCTGCTATAGTCTGTAGCGAATAGCACGTTTGATGTTTTACACAAATAAGGATATTAATAAAGAAAGGCAATGTTTCTGAATATGTAACTGTAAAATAGCCTGCCCATATGCATATGTGAGACCCGTGTTATTCTGAAATTACTTATCTGAATGGCAGGGAAATCTCAAAAAGGCTTTCTCAGGACTGAAGTAAAAGGAACAGTAATGATCCTTAAAACCTCAGAGATATGATTATAAGAGATAATTCTTTGGACTATTACTAAGGTAAACTCTGCATATGTGCATAATATAAGATTATCAGTAATTTTCTATTAAAAAGGCCCAGCATGGTCTCCATTATGAAAAGAAAGCCTAGAAGAGAAAGAAGAAGCACAAAAAATTCCCCAGGGTAAGGAGAAGAATAAGGTAGAGGTCTGTGCCAGGAGAACGTGGGTTAAACGTATAGGAAATAACCTTGAAACAGACAAATCCCAATGCAGATTCATTAGCCCCAGAGCTATTTTTTGCTCTAATTTTGCACCCCTCCCCCCACCTCCCTTCCTATTCTCCGCCACCCAGCTGGTGGTGGATATTCTCAAGAATTGGGGTTTTACAGACTCCGTAAGGGGTATGAAAAGGACAGGGGGGGTGACGACTTTAATTAAGGCTGCTCTCCTCCACGACTGAAGGGGAAATGTCTCGGTGCCATCAAATCAACTCCCAGCTCCAGTCTTTATACAACTGCAACTTTCTCCCTAAGACCCTGGCAGAGGCGAGGAGAGGCCCTGGGGAAAGCGGGTCTGGAGGGAACCGCAACGCTCTGGGCGAAAACCGCAGCTCCCTCTAGAACTACAGTGACTCTTGCCCAGAGCGCCTTCCCGTTATCGAAACACAACCACCTGGACTACTAACAGGAGTGCAAAGAAAGGAGAAAAGGGAAGAGAGGGTGGCCCGAAGTCCGCTCTAGGAGATCCAGGCAACGTCATGAAGAATGAAAAGAATCAAACGGAAACAGGGACTGGAATGCTGCGAAGGGCTGGCTCTGGTGAAAGCGTTTGCACTGGTCTCGCCCGGCTCTACATTATATGGAAATACCGTGTTTACCGTCTTCGTAGGAGGTCCTTACAGATCTGCCCGCAAGCTGGGAGGACCGGGCGCTGACTAGTTAAGGGAAGGCAGCCTTCCCGGACCGTATCCGGCTCGGAGGGCTGGCTGCTTTCACTTGTCCGTAACTTCCACCCTGTGGTCATAGTGTACCCTAGCAAACAGTCCTGACCGAGTGCCAACCTATTTCACTTGACCGCGTCCGATCCGCAGCCCCCGGTGGAAGCTGCAGGGACTGGGCAGAGTTCCAGGCGAGGGGGGCCGGGAGGCTTGAGCAGAGCTCCGCGGCGCTGGTCAGAGAAACGGAGCAGCGGCTCCTTTGTGGGCCGGTCCATCCCCCTCCCTGGTGCGCCGCGGGGACATTTGATCTGCGGGGTGATTGATAAGCGCGGGCGAGGGGCCGCCGGCCCGCCCTCCCCTCTCTTTCCTCCTCCCCGCTCCCGCCCTCCTCTCCTCCTCCCTCCCGGATCCCTCCCTCCTTCCTGCCAGAAGCGCTGCCAGGCGGCAAGCCGCTCCAGTGGGGATCTGCCTGCCCTTGGGGGCGCCGCCCGCGCTCGCCCCCGAGCCCTCGCTCCCGGGCCGCGCCGGGCCGAGGCCGCGCAGCCTCCCGCGCCTCCCCGGGTCGCGGATGCCGCGGGCGCCTCTGGGGGAAGCTCCGGGCGGCGCGCTCGCCGGGTAAGTTCTGAGTACTCGGGGGCGCCGCGGCGACGCGGCCGACTAGCTGGCTCCGCGCTGGCCCCTGACTTTCGCGGCCACAGCCCCAGGCGGAGGGAACGGGCGTGGGCAGACGGCGCGATCCGCCAGGGATCGCGCGCGGGCGGCCGCCCCTGACCGCCGCCCCCGCTCCGGCTGTCCGGCCTCGGGACAGTCCGCGCGGGCGTGGTCCGGCTCCGGGCGTCGTGCGGCCCCGCGGCCACCGCTCCCGGCGAGGACACGGCGCCCGGGCCTGGGGGAGAGGGCGGCGCGAGCGGCCGTCGCGGCGTTGTGGGGTGAGGGCAGGGAGAGCTGCGCGAGCGGTCGGTGCATGGGGCCCGGCCACAGGGGACTCGCCCGGCCCCTGGGTTGCCCGGAAGAGCCCTTCGGGAAGGGCTGGGCCGGGGACTCTGGAGCGGGGGCCGAAGGCGGCGGCGGGCGGGCGGTGGAAGCCCCCTCCCCGGGCCGGCCGGGCTCCGTTAACCCCCTCGCAGCCGGGGCAGAGGGGTACTGCCCGCCCGCCCTCACTCGCCGCGCCCGCTGGCGGCCCCGGAGACCCGAGCCCGGTTTCACTCGAGAAGATGCGAGTGAGACCAAGGCGACGGAGTTCGCGTTTCTACCTCCCTCGCCCCCGCGAGGACGGGGAGCGTTTGCCTTATTTTAGCGTCCGCCTCTGCCTCCCGCGGTCTCCGTGTTCACCCGGCACCGTTCCGCCGCCTTAGGAACCCGCTCTCCCCGGCGCGGTGCCGCGGCCGCTCCTCCAGAGACGCGGGGCCAGAGGAAACTTCCTTAAAGTGCTTTATCGGGGTGGAGGCTGATTTGTTCCCAATAACTGTGTTTGGGGAAACGGCTGCGGAAGCTCAGGGACAAGCGGGAGACGCAGGAGTGGTGGGAGGGTCCACTGACCCGTTTCGGCAGCTAACCGCGGAAGGGAGAGCTGCCGCCCCGCCGCGGGGTCCCCAGTGCCGTTACCCCAGCCCTCACCGCTCCGTTTCCCTCACCCCGTAGTATCAAGAATTTCAAGCGCCCCCTCATCTATCTACCCCCTCCAATTCCTAATAGGCTCTGTCCTCAAGCAGTATTGACAGAGTCATCAGTGTCTTAAAGGAAATTACGATATTTGAGAACTGAAACTCATATTTGGTATTTCACTTTCAAATACAATTTTAAAAAAAATAAACACATTTAAGTAAAACACCACCACTATTGAAGTTTAGGTAGATAGTTGTCTAATTCACAGTAAGCAGGAGTGAGGTGTTTTTTTTGAGAACTGCTGGCCTGGGACTCAGAACTTCTCGGTTCTGTTTCTAATTTTATAGATTCTTGAACTTAAGCAAGTCAGCACTTCCCCTGGTTGAGGAATGTCTTCATCTATAAAATGAATCTGATTTCAAAGGTCTTGTCTAGCTCTCATGTTGGCGTCTACTTCAATGAAATATTCACCTAATTAATAAATGTTTGTTAAATGAACGACTGAATGAATAAACCATATCTCTCTAGGAACTATGTATATTTAATATTTGGAAATATGTAGAACCAAATGCCCCTTTGCTATGAAAGGAAGCTTAATTGTGCTCCCACTGCATCACCCCACTCGCATCTAATGATGCAATTGCCATGGAGGGTGGGAGACCATCGCAGGGCTGCCCCCTCCCCCTCTGTGGACAGTCCCTCTCCCGTTGCCCTTTGGCACAGGGAAGGGAAATTCGAGGGCCCGGAAGGAAAGGTTGTTGCCCAAGGTGAAGCAAGAATTACTGGATGGGGAGGGGCTCATGATGTCTGGCCCAAGGCTCTTCTCCAAAGGAAAAGCAGGGGGAAAGAAGAACGCCCGTGACAAATTGCGGAGGAGAAGGCCAGAGCCACAGGTTGCTTTAGTGCCTAAGTTTATAAACCATGAGAGCCCTTCTTGGGGAGGAAAGAACTTGTATGGGTGGAACAATCCTAGGACCTGAGCTTCCTAGGGAAGGAGGAGGGGAGAAGCAGGGCGCTTTCTGTTCTCCGAAGGCTCAGCTTGCCTATGCGATTGCCCCTCTGCCACACTTGGTGCAGCAATGGGACCCTGTGTCGACTGCGGCAGGCAGGACCAAGAGGCGGGGAGAGCCAACTAAAGTGTCTGGCGGGACTGGCACATCACTTGGTCATTTCCTCTTCCCATTCTCTTTTCACCCCCTGCTTTTGCTGCCTCATCTCCCCCATGCCCACCAGAGGCAGCGCCTGGCCCTTTCGGGCACCAGCAGATATTCCCATTTTGCAAATGGACTCCAACTGGGAGACTCCTGGGTCCAGGGGACCTTAAGATAATTAAGGAGAAATGAGATACCGAAGGCAAAAACCCAACACCTGGCCATTAATAATCCCGGGGAAAGGTTATCTGAATCCGATTAAATGTCAGAGCTGGGAGGACCCTTATAAGTCCACCCCTTTTGCCCATGGGGGTGGGAAGATCCAACAAGTGACACCTGGCAACAGAGCTGGATCCGAAGCCAGGTCTCCTGAGTCTCAGGCCAGGACTCCTTTCATTCCTCCTCTTTCTCAGGAGCCAGTCTTCCTGCATCTCCGTCTTCTGTTCCCTGGTTCCCTGACCCTAGAGCCTGGAGGGCTCAGCACCCTTTCCTGGGCTCCTACTCCCAGCTGAAGCTCAGCCTGACAGTGCCTGTCTGACACCCACTTCTCTTCTCCTTCCTTCAGGCAAAAAGCACACGTTTAAACCTCATTATCTGGCTAAGTATAAACCTCGGGGGAGAAGGGTTTTGTTGTTGTTTATCTCAGTCTATAAGCTAACGTTGAGCTGGCTTTCAGATTCCCAGCAAATATCTGGCCAGTCACCATCCAGAAAGTAATTCTCTCAGCACTGAAACAAAGCTCTGTATGTAAAGCATAAATCCCCCAAAAGAACTCCTCGCCCTCCCATACAGACACACCGGTGCACACACACCCCACTCTCCACACCAAGAGCATGTGAGCTAGGAGTTTGGCAGGCGGGCCCCAGTCCTGTAGCAAACAGACACATCTACACACACACACCACACACACACATCCCTTACTCGGAAGGATCTGGACCCCTGCTCGAGAATCTGGAATGAGACACCCCCGCGCGCGCGCACACACACACACACACACACACACACACACACACACACTGCCCCGCTGGAAGAGCCAGGAGGGAGGGGCGGGTGGAAGAAACCACTCGGAGGAGCCAGAGGAGTCCCGGCGGTGCCCCGCCTGGAGAACCCCCTCTCCAGGAGCTCGCCAGCCACTCGCCGCCCGCCGGGCTGGAGGTGGAGTAGTTCAGAAGCAACTGACGCAGCCGGGATTTGAGCTTTGCAAAGCCACTCGCAGGGAAGGGAAGCATCTGCCCCTCCCTCCCCCACTGCGCGCCCTCGATCCCCAGCCTGCCCCCTCCCCCCGTGACGTCACCCCAGCCCGGTCCCGGGGAACCTGCAAAGCCTCTCAAATTCAAACTGCCGGGCGCACTGGTGCCCCTGCCGCCGGATTGGAAGTGCGTGCCCAGTCTCGGTCGTCTCCGCCGCCCCAGCCGGCAGGCTTCGCGACCTCCCTGCTCAGTCGAACCCCCGGGTCCCCGTGGGCTCAGCTTCCCGCCGCTCCAGCCCTCCTCTTCTTCTCCTGCCGCCTGCCGGATTCCTAATTTGTGCGCACCCCCCAGCAAAATTTAATCCACCGACAGAAAGCAGGGCATCCTTCCGTAAGCGGCGTCTCCTTATACCTTGCTCTCCCTCTCTTTCCGAAGATGCTAAACTACCGGCGGACTGCAGAGGAGAGGGGTCCCGTCTTCTCCTGATGTGTGAGTAACCCCCACCGCGCGCTGTCTTTGCTCTTCCACCCTCTCCCTTACCCCGCCGCCAGTCCCCTGATTTTCCCACCCCCTTTTTGCGCAGTTAAAAAAAAAAAAGTAAAGCAATTTCTGCTGGGAGCCCAGGACGGGCTAGCCGCCCGAGATCTCTTCAAGATACCCCAGGGGAGGAGGAGGAGGAGATGGGCTGGATTTAGTAGGACAACTCGGTTACTAATGACTCCGCGGCTGGCTGCGACCCGCCGGGAAATCAGGTGCAAGCGTGTGTTCCGGGACGCGTGTGTGGGTGGGCTGCGGGGGAGGGGAGGAGAGCAGAAAGCGCTTTGAAAAACGCAGTGATTTCATTCTGCCGTGCTGTCCACTCCCCGCATTCTTCCTCCGTCCCACTCCGCCCCCTCGCTTTGCCATTTTAATCGGGCTTCCGTGTTTCTTTCTCCCCCGCATCCCGCTCTCTCCTGCCCCCTCCCCAAGGTTTGCCTGTAGGTACCTGAGCTGACACCGACGGTGCCTAAAGATGCTGAGCGGCGTTTGGTTCCTCAGTGTGTTAACCGTGGCCGGGATCTTACAGACCGAGAGTCGCAAAACTGCCAAAGACATTTGCAAGATCCGCTGCCTGTGCGAAGAGAAGGAAAACGTACTGAATATTAACTGCGAAAACAAAGGATTTACAACTGTCAGCCTGCTCCAGCCCCCCCAGTATCGAATCTATCAGCTTTTCCTCAATGGCAACCTCCTGACGAGACTGTACCCCAACGAGTTCGTCAATTACTCCAACGCGGTTACTCTCCACCTGGGTAACAACGGGCTGCAGGAGATCCGAACCGGGGCGTTCAGCGGCCTGAAAACCCTCAAGAGGCTGCACCTCAACAACAACAAGCTCGAAGTGCTGAGGGAGGACACCTTCCTGGGCCTCGAGAGCCTCGAGTACCTCCAGGCCGACTACAATTACATCAGTGCCATCGAGGCGGGGGCCTTCAGCAAACTGAACAAGCTCAAAGTGCTCATCCTGAATGACAACCTTCTGCTGTCTCTGCCCAGCAATGTGTTCCGCTTCGTCCTGCTGACCCACTTAGACCTGCGGGGGAACCGGCTGAAAGTGATGCCTTTTGCCGGCGTCCTCGAGCATATCGGAGGCATCATGGAGATTCAGCTGGAGGAAAACCCGTGGAATTGCACTTGTGACTTACTTCCTCTCAAGGCTTGGCTGGACACCATAACTGTTTTTGTGGGGGAGATTGTCTGTGAAACTCCCTTCAGATTGCATGGGAAAGATGTGACCCAGCTGACCAGGCAAGACCTCTGTCCCAGAAAAAGTACCGGTGACTCCGGTCAGAGGGGCGGCCACGCTGACACACATGTCCAAAGGCTGTCACCTACAATGAATCCGGCTCTCAACCCAACCAGGGCTGCAAAAGCGAGCCGGCCACCCAAAATGAGAAATCGCCCAACTCCCCGGGTCACAGTGTCGAAAGACAGGCAGAGCTTTGGACCCATCATGGTGTACCAGACCAAGTCCCCAGTGCCCCTCACCTGCCCCAGTAGCTGTGTCTGCACCTCTCAGAGTTCAGACAATGGTCTAAATGTCAACTGCCAAGAAAGGAAGTTCACTAATATCTCCGACCTGCAGCCTAAACCTACCAGTCCAAAGAAACTCTACCTAACAGGGAACTATCTTCAAACTGTCTATAAGAACGACCTCTTAGAATACAGTTCTTTGGATCTATTGCATTTAGGAAACAATAGGATTGCAGTCATTCAGGAAGGTGCCTTCACAAACCTGACTAGTTTACGCAGACTTTATCTGAATGGCAATTACCTTGAAGTGCTATATCCGGCTATGTTTGATGGACTGCAGAGCTTGCAGTATCTCTATTTAGAGTATAATGTCATTAAGGAAATTAAGCCGCTGACCTTTGATGCTTTGATTAACCTACAGCTACTGTTTCTGAATAACAACCTGCTGCGGTCCTTACCTGATAATATATTTGGGGGCACGGCCCTCACCAGGCTGAATCTGAGAAACAACCATTTTTCTCACCTGCCTGTGAAAGGGGTTCTGGATCAGCTTCCGGCTTTTATCCAGATAGATCTGCAAGAGAACCCGTGGGACTGCACCTGTGACATCATGGGACTAAAGGACTGGACAGAGCATGCCAACTCCCCTGTCATCATCAATGAGGTGACCTGTGAATCTCCCGCTAAGCACGCTGGGGAGATCCTGAAGTTTCTGGGCAGGGAGGCTATTTGTCCAGACGGTCCAAACTTGTCAGATGGAACCATTTTGTCAATGAATCACAACACAGACACACCTCGCTCACTTAGTGTGTCTCCCAGTTCCTATCCTGAACTACACACTGAAGTTCCACTTTCCGTCTTAATTTTAGGATTGCTGGTTGTCTTTATCTTATCTGTCTGCTTTGGGGCTGGCCTATTCGTCTTTGTCCTGAAACGCCGAAAGGGAGTGCCAAGTGTTCCCAGGAGTGCCAACAACTTAGATGTAAGTTCCTTCCAGTTACAGTATGGGTCTTATAACACTGAGACTCAGGATAAAGCAGACGGCCACGTCTATAACTACATCCCCCCACCTGTGGGTCAGATGTGCCAAAACCCCATCTACATGCAGAAGGAAGGAGACCCAGTGGCCTATTACCGAAACCTGCAAGAATTCAGTTACAGCAACCTGGAGGAGAAGAAAGAAGAGCCAGCCACACTTGCTTACACTATAAGTGCCACCGAGTTGCTAGAAAAGCAAGCCACCCCAAGAGAGCCCGAGCTGCTGTATCAGAATATCGCTGAGCGCGTCAAGGAACTCCCCAGTGCAGGACTCGTCCACTATAACTTTTGTACCTTACCTAAAAGGCAGTTCGCCCCTTCGTATGAATCTCGACGCCAAAACCAAGACAGAATCAATAAAACCGTTTTATATGGAACTCCCAGGAAATGCTTTGTGGGGCAGTCAAAACCAGACCACCCTTTACTGCAAGCTAAGCCGCAATCAGAACCAGACTACCTCGAAGTTCTGGAAAAACAAACTGCAATCAGTCAGCTGTGAAGGGAAATCATTTACAACCCTCTGGCATCAAAGGATGCTGCTCCAAACTGTTGGAAGCACTGCATTTGCTTTCGTGTGTGTTTGTGTTCTCCCTTTCCCAGCCTCAATGGGGGACTTTGAAGATGTTTTGGGGGATGGGGTGAAGCAATGATACTGCTTTTTCAAGTTTTCCTTTAAATTATTTCTCTCTTGCTCTCCTCCCTCCCCCACCTTTTTTTTCCTTCTCTCCTTAGGAATCATCATTGAACATGAATGTTTCTACAATGCATTTTTTTCATATATTTTGTTTACGGTTTTGTTTCCTTTTTCTTCTTTTATTTTTCCAGTGTGGGAATGGGAAGAGGAGATTATAGTGAATGAAGAAAGAGTAAGCAAACTTTTCAAATGAAAATGGATATTTAGTGTATTTTGTAGAAGATCTCCAAAGATCTTTTGAGACTATAAATTCTTTTGTAAATAATGATATATGGTATTTCCGTCTTCAGTTACCAAGCATAGTCACTAGGCATCACTTCTTTGTGTTAAAGTGCCTTTGCACTTTAAGTACATTACTTAAATGTTGCTTTTAGCTTTGATAAATTGAACATATTTTAATGTGTTGTATTTTTAAAATTAAAAACACTGTAAAATAGATTGAAATGTCAGCTATATTAAGTCAACGTACAGTTTGCTTGAGTTATAGAAACCGACCTGTCATCAAATGATTCTAGTTCTAGGACTTTATAGATTTAACTGTAAAATATTTCCTTTCCTTTGGGTTTGTTCTAAGTGATTTAATTTAAGTCAACTAAGGGGACTTAACAGTGGACTAGAGGTAATAAAATGCCTCAGTTGGGATTAGTAATTCATTAATAAAATATATTTAACCCAATATCAGAGTGAATTGAACAATTAATGCCCTTCCGTAAATCGTTATTTTACACTAACATGGTCAGTGTTTTAGATTATTTTCCTAATTAAGAGTACATTACACAACTTGTAATATATTTTTTCTGCATTAGATATTTTTATATATTTAAATGAGAGTCTGTATTTCTAACTTTTTAATTGAAATTAGTATTTTTTCTGCCTATTGAAACATTTTCTATAAACACACACCAGTAGAGGCCGCCACACACCTCATTTAATAAAGACATATGAGCCATTACATACCTTGAAGGAAGACTTCAAAGGTGAGATTAAGACTTCCCAAGTAAGTTCTTTGCAAATTCAAGGCAGCAGAGACAAATGTATACGTTAGTTTCTGTTTCTTTTAGGATTAAAGGTTAGACTCAGAATCCTTCTCAATGTTCACATTTTCAGAGAAAGCAGCGTTTTCCTCTTGAGCTTATGGAAGCGTTAACAGGGTGCTATCAAATGATGTACTCTTTGCATCTCCAACCTGATTAATAAGTACCTAAACCAAGAAAGTAGGCATCCTTTTTTTCCTGCCTTCTTTAGGCAAGGGTTACTTGAATTTTTCCTTGTCAGCTTCAGCAAGCTTTTGGTTTTGGTCTTAGCATTAAAATGATTTTAACTAACCAAGTCTACATAGCATTTATGAAGCCTTATTAGCCTGTAAATAATTTTTAGATGCAAATATTATTGTGTGATTTAAACAAACAGCCCTTCTTTAGAAAAAAATAGTTTTATTTTGTCTATTGTAAATCCTTATGCAACTGGAATGGTGATCTGCATATAAAGTAGTCCAGCTTTTCAATTCCTTATTAAAGCAATTGATGGCGTCTGAAAGAAGCACACTGTTTCCTTTTCATAAATAGGTTACTGCACATAATAATCCTTTATTATCATGTGGAAATTGAAGTGGATCCTGATAACTTACTTTTAAAGCTTTAAAATGACTAATAGTTTATTATCTGTCACTATAGACAATTCATGAGATAGGCTTTCAATTAGAAATTACTTAAATCCAAATTATTTGGATTAATAACTACTGGTGCAAAATAGTTTTTATTTAACATTAGATGGTAATTGTATATATATATATATATATATATATATATATACATGTAAAGTACATTCAGGAAAAAAAATGCCTTTAATACCCTAAAGTCTCTGAATATCTACAGTGACAAGCTAAAATGTTCATTCTTTGATTAGAGATCATAATTCTTATTTAAATCCATTAGATTGAAATTGAAAATGGTGGGCTGAAATGATCTACAGGAAAGTTAATGTACAGAGACTTTACATTTCATAGAAGAGGAGCAAGAGTATTTTACCAGTTGAACTTGGAGATAGCTTCTGGAAACCACCTCCTCTTATATATGTAAGAGTTTCAAAAACTCTCTCGTGGCTGCTCTCATTTGGTGCAATGATAAATGCAGAATACAGAGGTAGGTATTTGGGGAAATGATTATGAAGGCAAATTAGTATACATATTCTATTAAGATAGTTTTTTGGTTGACATTCTATCACTAGAACTACTGATGTGGTGATTCCACTTCAGTGTTCGTATTCTCCTGAAAATAAAGTCATTCCTGTAAAACACCATTAGCCATAGAAAAACTAATTCATTAATTGTAAGCAGAGATAGCTTACTGTTCATTTAGTTACAAGACTCTAAAGAGGCCTCCTGGAAGAACTCAGACTCATAAACTCTTTTGCTTAATAACTATGGTTTAATTTTAGATTCTCATGCTTCTTAGATATTTACTTTATTCTGTATTAGGTTTTAAGATGAAATCGTTTGAATGTGTCCAGACTATTTCATCTAAAGGCATAATACATCATATACTGTGAAGCTTTGTTTTTTAATGCAATCACAAACACTTTAATTTGATTAACTTATTAGCATCCCCACTGACTATGTTGTTTTGCTTTACCCACTGAAGTGCTTTCAAACATATTTCACTTTAAGATTTTTATTTTTATCTCCTACAGCTGGATTTTGCTATTTCACTTTTATTTCACATGCAGCTTGTAATGGGTATGAGCATCAGCACAGTGAAATGGTTCCAGCCAACAGAATACGATTTCCCCTGGCCCTGCCTGGAACAGATCTATATGTCTGGCAAATGGTAATTCCCTTTGATTCTAGCTCTTAATAGTTGCTTCCTCTGTTTCTGAATATACCTGTGTCTAAGTTTGTATTGAAACACTCAAAAGCACCACTTCTCAGTCTGGACACAATTGCCAAAAGTCTAACTTGGTTTTGGACTTTGGTCAACCTGTGTGCCTTGTTACTTCCCTCCAGCAGTTGGTGAGTAAGGAAATGACCCTTCAGTTTCCTCTGCTTTGTCCTCTGACCTCTAAGGTGGTTTAATTTTTCTAAATATTTCCATGTCATCAAGGGCTCAATGTTTTACGGATTTTGCAGAAAGTGTACAATGAAAAAGAGGGAGGTTCTGTGATTTTTCAGACTCTGGAAATTCATTTTGATTGGACGCATTCCAGAAACATACTGGATTAGATGCTAGACTGAAGGAAGCCTTCCAGACAGTTCTCCTAATCCAGTCATTTCTTCATTCATTCAATAAGTATTTGAGTGCTTGCTTCCTAGGTGCCAGGCTCTGTGCTGTGTGCTGAGGGGGCACAGAGATACAGTAGACAGGCTCTCTGCCCACCTCCTCACCCCGCCGCCCGCAGAGAGCTTAGTGCTAATAAAGGAGAATGTTATCTGAATGACAAATCACCCAGAGTAAACAGTGGGAACAGCAGTGAAATGCAGGAAGTTGGGTTTTTAAAGGTGATTCTGTGCAATGAAGTATAAAACTGATATATCATAGGTTAGCTACTGTGTAACCACCATTAACATCTCTTTAGAGTTACACAGCTACAAAGGGAGAAAACCCACAAAAATAAAATAAAACAACTTTCTGCAGAAGAGGGACCAATATTATGGCCTGAAGATAGCTATATACTTGTGCTATCTAACGATCTACATTGTAAAGATGACTTCCCAAATTGTAAATACAAATATCACAAATATACTTACATTTTCTGTAATATCCATGTTTTAGAGGCAATATTTACTTTCTACTTCAGTGGCTTAAAATATAACATTTTGGCTTAATTGTCTTTTACAGAGACAATAAGACACTTACCTAAATCCTGAGAGAGAAAAATTAAGTACTGTATATAGGTGTACTTTGCTTCTCACAATGGTTGTGCAAAAAGTCACGTGTAAATTGAAGTTTTGTAAGTTAAATTGTATTTTAAATGCATTAGGAGAGCTGCCAGTTAGAGGAAACTTGTGAATCCTTTTATAAAGCAGAAAACCATTTTATAAGACAAATAATCACTCTGTAATTTATCTGTTTTGTATGTTTGGAGTTTCAATATCGACTTTGCTTAAAACGGAGCCCACCTGCCTAATCAGAGTGTGTTTTGCCAATGCTGCTTGTGCTACCAGTTTCTCGGTTGCTAAGGGCTTATACTTGAAAATCCGCTGCAGTTTCGTGTGACTTGAGCTATGGGGCGATTTTATGATGGCGCAGTAACATTCCTGAGCAGTCTGAGTAGCCAACCCGTTTCAACTCCATTGAACACAGGACTCTTCTGCTCAGCAGCGTCTCCTCTGTCAGATGTGGCCATGATTCGTTAGAGGGTAGAGTGACTCCTGTATTCAGATCCTATAAAGTGCTTAGAGTCACAGGTTTTATAATAAATATATGGTATTATGTAAACAAATTAAACTGCATGTGTGTTGGAATTTTTTAGCAGTATTTTAGCTTGAAAGTACTTGTACAAATACCGTTAGATTTAGTTGCAAATAATTGTTCTCAAGTTATTGGAATAAATGGCAAATGAAACGAGCTCTCGTGTAAATAGACTTCTGTGCCAAATAGTGACATTGTTTCAAAACATGAATGCCATATTTTGGGCTGTTAATAGGCAAAATGAAATATTGAAAATGTGGTCAAATGATATTATGTCTTATTGGATAAACTTTATACAGTTATTTTGTGCTATAGTTAGCTTTCAGTTAATAAATATTCACTAAAAATAAACATTTGAATTAGTTAGAAAAATTCTTTACACTCTTGAGAGGAATTAATGACAAACTATTACTGGAACCATCCTCTTTGCCTTGATATATATACTGTTCAAATGTTTACAAATTTAGGTCTTCTTTATATAATTTACATATTAAGGGTAAAATGTGCTTTAAAAAACATATTAATACTTTTCCATTAATGCCCATTAGTATCAGCATTAAAAAATTAAAACTAGAGAGAACAATAAAAACAATTCAAATAGAGCTGTCTCTCTAGGAATTGAAAGAAAGTTTGATTTCACACTCCCCCTACCACACACATCCACCCACACAACAGCCAACTGTTTTTCATTATAAAATTCTATCTAATACAATAGGTGATCTAATAAATCTTTATCTATAAAATGAGAGAACGATTGACATGCAAATCCAAGGAATAGAAATTATGAATCCATTAAAGAAGATGTTATTACTGTATTACCAAAAACTAGAGTCAAAATAAATGAGAGGGAGAGAGATGCATTTGTTGCTGTAACTGTGGTAATATTATAGCAAAGCGACTTATTTGGCTTTTGCATTGGTTGAACATCAGAATATATCTGCCAGGTATGCTCCATTCACAAATGTATAACGTAACAAAGGTTTTGAGGTTTGTGTGATGGACAGGAGGACTTGAAACAAATTATCCTCTCTTGAGATTCTTAATTTGCTGTATGCACAATATATTCAATTTATTCATGTGGCCTTCACAAGTTGGTAAAACAATTGAAAGAGTCTCATTCTAGAGTGTTTTATTGAAGTTGGTGCTTAGCACACTAGATTATCTCATCCTTTACAAAGATGAGTGGAAGTAGAATTGGAATGAAAGGGATGTACAGCTCCCCATTCTGAACACATGTCATATAAGATATCAGCAAGTCATATGTGTCTGTTGATACTGGGAAAAGACCATCAAAATAGATGCTGTCATTACTGAATGGGGTCTGGAAATGTACCTGATCCGTGTTTCCCTGGGCAACCAGTATGTGATTAGTTATACATCATTTTTATTAATTTGATTTTTCAAATATTTTATGTTTGCTATCAACATTACCCTAAAAAGGAACATTTGAGCTAATTATCTGTCAGATCTAGTTACCTGGCATTTTTGGACATATTTGATCTTGACAGAATGTTGGCTACAACATAAAGTATAAGGTAATTTCTGGCTCACAGAGTGACTGTTGGGCAGACAGGAGAGGTGAATGGGGTCTGCTCTGGGTAATTCTTGGCCAAGTCCCTCACTCCTCAAGCCCCCTTTACCTTCACATCATTAACACCTGACATAATGATTCAGCACTTAATAACCCTCCAATAAATATTCCCATAATGAATAAATGAATAAGACTCTGGCTCTCATGTGAATACTGAAGAAGGGTGGAAAACTGAAGGATTTAAGTTCAAAGTGATTAGAGTGGGTTCTTAGCTGTTCCAGGAAGTCCTAAACAGATATTTAGTTGGGCCATTTTCAGAGCTTATGAAGAACACACATACACACACACACACACACACACACACACACACACACACACACACATACTCCATGAGGATGGCAGAGAAGTTATGGTGACACACAGGCAAGATCCAAGTTTATTACATGCCTGAGGGCCCGATTTTAAGTGATACCTGAGTCTGTCTATTGAACCCAATGATCTCATTCTAGAGTTAAAGTAGCTTTACTGCTGAGTGCTGATATTGACTTGTTATTGGCTTTTGGCATCGGGAGACTTAGTTGAGAGGAAATACACTCCCTGACAAGCTTGAATGATGAATTCTTCCAGACCTTATCATTTAGTTCTTCCTAGGATCTGTGTATTTGGTTTGTTTCTTAAGTCTTCCAGATAGGAGAGAAATTCTTTGGGTTCAGACTACATTAAGTCATATTTCTGTCAGAACACAGTTGTGTCATAAGGTCTGATTTATCCAAAATAAGAACTTATAGGTGATG